GATATAAACGTCAAGAATCAATGATAACAGAGAGTAGTAATAGTACAGTATTAACTCCACCATCAACGCCTGATTATTATCAATTAGAACAATCATTAACACCACCATTTCAATCAAGGTAAAAATCAAAATATAAATAATTTGTTCATTTCTTTTTTTTTATGTATTTTATTTAGATATACACTTGAATATGAACATGTTCGATTCCTTGGACGTGGTGGATTTGGTGTTGTATTTGAAGCAATTAATAAATTAGATCAACGACGTGTTGCAATTAAACGTGTTTCATTAAAAAAGTAATATTTTTCTTATTTAATAAAAAATTTTTTTTCTTTTGTAAATTGATTTTTCTTTTTCAAGACCATCAGGAAAAGAACGTGCATTAAAAGAAATTCGATGTTTAGCTGTATTAAATCACCCAAATTTAATACAATATTATTATGCTTGGAATGAATGTCCCCCAATTGGATGGCAAGAAGATGAAGATAAAACATTATTAGTGAGAAATAATATCAATACCAGGTATTAAATTTATTCGAAAATTACTCTATTTATAGAAAGAGAAAAAAAAATTAAATAATTTTCAAATGAAAATTTTGATTTTTATAAATTTTCGATAAGGAAAATTTAGTCGAGAGAAAGAAAGTAAAATCAAGCATTGTTAGGGTTAGAGTGTACTAAACCATTGAATCTTCAATGACCTACAAATTCGTATAACGCTTTGAATTAATTTTTTGTTTCGATATAAACTCATAAATAACATGGTCTTCATACTGAAAACTTTATTAGAACTAAAGTCCAGTCGAAAAAAAGCATTCTGTTATGATCTTCCATCTAAGCGAGATTTTAACAAAAAGGATAGGGGATTTCGAATCAGAATCGAAACTAATGATTGTATATTATAAAAAGAAAATGAAGACTAGCGATACCGACATAATCCGGGAAATGAAAGACCTGATTTTAATCCGAAACTAGCTGCTATTGCAAATGTCTAATCATATATCATCCTTCGAAACAACTTACTTTTTTCAAAAAACAAATAATTCATGATAAGTAAGTTTCTAGCTTTATGCAGATAAAATAATATTTAACAACAAAATACAACATATTGAAATGACTTCGCTCAAATTTAACCATACCAGTGTCATAATCAATACCTACATAAGCTATTTCCATAGTTGACTCAATAGAAATTCTACTACATTAGTGTCAAGCGGATAAAATGGTAATATTTGTTTGAACCAAACTCTTGTTGACTTAGTTAATATTACTACAAATTTTCATTTGTAGTAAAGATTTTTCCTTGATAAAAAAAAGCTGTTAGCGCAATCCCTTGCGGGATTAAAAATGTGAAACACGATGGACCTATTGTTACTAATTAAATGGGCATCGTTTTGTTCCATTTCTTCAAGATAGATTTGTAGCTTACCGTTTATTCGATGTTTCAAAACTACAATTTCTCTGTCACAGTCTGTGATGGTCTCTGGCAGTTCTCTATCACGGTCTGCGATGGCTACTAGGGTTTCTCTGTCACGGTCTGTGATGGGTATTGGGGTTTCTCTGTCACGATCTGTGATGGCTATTGGGGTTTCTCTGTCACGGTCTGTGATGGGTCCGAAGGTTCTCTGTTACGGTCTGTGATGATCTCTGGAGTTCCCTGTCATGGTCTGTGATGGGTGTTAGGGTTTCTCTGTCACGGTCTGTGATGAGTATGGAATTTCTCTGTCACGGTCTGTAGGGGGGACGGGGGGGGGTGCAAATTTCTGCCCCTAAACACTTCAACACTCCTTTCAGATCGTGTTTTACAAAACACAGAAATTTTCTATCATTTAACATTGAATAATTCCTAGTTAAACTAGCCATGAAAAGGATCATTTCGATTTATTTTTGAATTAATATTCTGAATGAACAATACTTCAAATGAAATATGCATAACGATCATTTTATTTGAAGTTGAAACTTAAAATGGGAATTCTATTTTTTTCTAAATAATTCAATTCTAAGATTTCTTTTTTTTTCTCAGAGATTCAATGAGTACTTTTCCAACATCGGCAGCATCGGGAAATGATAGTGAATCAATAATTCAAATAAAACATTCGAAACTTTCTTCTGTACCACCTATAAACGTAATAAAACCAGCAACAACTTCTCTATCATTATCCGACATAACATTCGATCGTTCATCAAATCCACTTCGTATTGATGAAAATTTTTCAACCAATAGTATTAACAATGATGATAATAATAATAATAATAATAAATCTGATATGAGCTCTTCATCATCATCAGATGATCAAACAAATGATCAATTAGATGCAAATAATAATAATAAATCAACAACAACGAAACGTTCTCTATCATCATCATCACCATTATTTGATCATTCATCAGATTTATCATTATCTTCAAATGAATTCAATGAAAAAACTCCATCACATAAAGAAGTAACAGAAAATGATGATGGAATTATATTTTTACATGATGAACAACGATCATCATCATCTCCATCTCCTATACAAACACAAACAAAATCTTTAATTGAAAAAAAGAAATCTATAACGAATGAAAAAGATCTTCCAACTACTTATTTTTATTTTGTTATGGAATTATGTCAACCAGAAACATTACGTGATCGTTTAATGCAAAGAACTATTGATCGACCTCAAGCTTGGTCAATTTTTGATCAAATTATTAAGGGTATTGAATATATTCATTCACAAAAATTGGTAAAAAGAAAAAACTTTTTCTTCTCACAAAAAAAATAAAAAATATTTTTTCCTTAGATTCATCGTGATCTAAAACCATCGAATATACTTTTTTCAATGGATAATACAGTGAAAATAGGTGATTTTGGTCTTGTATCTGCTTTTGGTGAAGACAAATTAGCCAAAAAAAAGAAACGCGACGATGAAAATTTTGATCAAATACAACAATATGAAACAAGATCAACAACAGATGGGTGTGGTAATAATGAAGTTGGTGGTACTATGCTTTATATGAGCCCGGAACAGGTAAAATAACCAAAAAAAAAAAAAGATAAGCAGCTTACTTGTTTTTGATCAATGAAACTAATCGATTTTCCTTATATAAATTGATACGAATAAAATCTAAGTATTTGGTATAGGCATGAGCGGAATCAGTAGGTTTTAATCCCCATCTCGATCATAAAAAAATCTTGTAATCATAATAAATATTTTATTTTAAAGATAAATCGTGAACCATACAATCAAAAAGTTGATATCTATGCAATGGGTATTATTCTTTTTGAACTTCTTTATCCATTTTCAACACAAATGGAACGTATGCAAGCAATAGCAAATGTTCGTCTTCGAACACCAGTATTTCCCGATGATTTTGAACGTCATGCTAATAATCGTAATCAATTAATTGTAAGTAAAACAAAAAAAAAAGAAACAAAATTTAATAATTCTCAAAATAAATTTTCTTTTTTTTTTTTATAGTGTCGTTTAATTCGTTGGCTTTTATCTCATTCATCGCATGATCGTCCACGAGCAAGTGAATTACGTCAAAATACATTTTATCAACGCATATTACAACTGGAAGTTCCACATTTATTTTGTTCTGATAATCGTCAACAAAATCAAACTATTATTAATGGACAAGATCAAACATTAATATGTCCACAACAATCACAATTTTGTCGAAGTTCATCATCAACATTTCGTCGTTCAGTTTCATCATCAGCTCTTCATTCTCATAGAGAATCCGAATCAGGAGACACAGAAAGTCTACAATAGAAAACGTAGTGAAACATTATTGATTTAACTAATATATTATATAGAATGTGACGATATGTTCCAGAAAATTTTTTTCGTCGTGTCTTTTTTCATCTGTAAATAGCTTTATCTTGTTGTCTATTATTTTTTTGTTCAAAAAAAAACACAAGACTAATTCGTGATTTGTTTATTTCACTTTTATTTGTTCGTGTCTTGTTTTTTTTTTATTAGTTCATTTTATTGATCGGGGATGGATATTGATTATTTTGTTTTTTTCTTTTTTTGTTTATTATTCATCAAAAAAAAAAGAGAAAGAAAGAAAAATGACCAATCGAACTTCTTTTTTGTTGTGCTGATATTTACAGACATAAGACATAACTATATGAGAATATTACACCGAATAACCACCGACCTAAAAAAAAAATTCAATATAAAAAAAAATTTTTTTTTTCTGTAAAAATTGATTTCTACTTGTTCTTGATAAACTTCAATAGTATCATTATCTTCCATTTCCAATTGTTTAGGAGTTTCATCATCATTAATACGTTTACCATCGAAAAGAAATCTTAACCAAAAGAAAAGAAAATGACTTTATAAACTAATAAAACTTCTATATTTACCTTAATGTTGCCACACCAACACCTGAAATAAATCATAAAAGAAAGTAAAGAATTTTCGATGATCAAAATTTTACCTTGTCGTTCAGCATATGATTTTTTCAATTTACCCATACTAGTTGTCATTTTAACTTTAAAATGAACTTCGCCTATAAAAGATCATAATTTAAAGAATCTAAATAATAATTTTCTTTATTATTTCTTACTATTGTCTTGCCCAACAACTCGAAGTTTAATATATTCGTCTGTTTTATTTTCAGCTGTCATTGTGAAAAAAATCGATTTTCTTTCTTTTTTTCGCAATAATAATCTTCTCTTCGTTGTTCTTTTTGAACAAAACGATATCCATAGATTATCTTTTTTTAAATGTTTTATCGCCTCTCATAAAATAGTTTAAAAATCAAATTTTTAATTTTAAAAGAAAATTTAATAAATTATTTTTAATAATTAATTTGATTAAAATATTCAAATTTTATAGATGTCACTATAAAACATATTATCCGAAAATGAAAATTAATTTTATTTATTAAATGAAATATAAAAAAAGAAAATAAAAAAAAATAACTCTACGTTAATTTTTTAAAATATTTTCTTATAGATGAAATTTTTCTATTTGTCAAAAGTTGACACATATTTAGAGGTTTTAAATAAAGAGAATACCATACAATTAATATGGCGGATATATTAAAAGCACTCAGCATGATGGTTTTCTTTCCTTTTTTCTTTTTTGATTACAAGAAGATAGAATACGATCGTAACAAGAAGTTTTTTTTGTCAAGATTAAATTTTTATATATTTATACATTGAGATTTATTCATATTACATTATATGACAAAAAATTATAAATGTCGCTGTAATTTATTTTATGATTATCTTAAAAGTAAGAAAAATTATAGGTTCTTTTTAGCACAAAAGTAAGTTAAAGAATGAAAATTGATGTGTTAAATGATTCATATAATTGAGTTATATTTTATTCTGTTAGTAGATTCCGAATTGGGATGTTTTCTGTAGGAAATTTGCAATATTTCAAGTTGATATTTTAGATCTTGAATATGAACATTTGGATATTTTAATATTAAATCTTGCTTATATAGATAAAAATAGTTTCATTTTGAAATATTTCTATTAATAAATAAATAATATATTTGGAGATTATTGTGTTTGTTATTTTGTTGTGTAAATGTCAATCTAGAAAGGATGAATATGAAAAGATATCTTCAAATATTTGGTGTATAATTGGATTCTTATTGTATCATTATTATTAAAATGATCTAATGCAATCAATTTAAATATTCGTCGTATATAATGAAGAAAATTAAACTTAAATTTTTTATTAATTATTATTGGTTCTATAATGAGAATAGAAATGAAAGGAACAACTTTAATCTTAATTTATTATTAATAGCTGATAGTAATATGTCAATTTAGTTTGTTTTATATGGATAATTCATCAATTCGTATGAGTATACGCTATAAATTTCATCATATTTTGGTATTTCTTTATCATAGCAAATATTTTACAATAGAGTATCAACTTACGACGGAATGTTGCTAAGTATCAAATCACTTTTGAGGCGAGACTATATGCATCTAATAAACTATGAATATCCTAAAAAGACTTCAGAGTAATAGATTATTACTGCCAAGATAGTGTATTTTGATATAAAATACCGTGCTGTCCTCGCAGAAAAATCAAGGTTCGAATTTTAATTCAAAACTTTGCATAGACACAGACTTTAATGAGAATAGTTTATAGTAATAGCTTAGTTTTAATCTTATTTCAGAAGAGATACAATCAAAAAATCTAAAACTTTCATCATAAACTATTGTCGTTAAGATCTGTCTATTTTGAAAGTTTTGAAAACTTAGTTTTCCCGAGGGAGAATCACGATATTCTGCTAAAAACAAAATACAGTATCTCGACAGTAAGAAGTTATTATCAGAAACTTATTCATAGTTCATTAGAAACTTTTTCTCGTTAGACAAATCTATTAAATTTTGTCTTAAAATAGTCTCCATTTGACGATCTTAGATAGACTTGTCTAGATGAAGAATTTTGAAGAATAGTAAATATATTTACGATTTTCACTAGAAGACTATGCATTATTTGTATGAAAAAAAAAACAATGATTGAAATCGGAAGAAGATATCTCGAGAGGTTTTCTCGTTCGTTATATGTAATATTAGATGATAAATTATATTGTCTTTCTAAAAACTCAACTATCCATATTCATTCATGATTAGTATAATTAATTTTGACACAGTCAGTCAGGCATCTAAACATATCGTTCTCTTGAATGAATGCATGTGACAATTCAAATAGCTTCTTTTTTTGCTATATTTATATTCATTCTAGATGGGACATTTTAACAAAAAAACTTGTCCTTATATCTAAATAATAACATATCATTATTAGATAATATTAAATCACGAACAGTGTTTATAAAATTAAAATAGAACAAAATTAGAATGAACCCACGCATTATAGAAAAAACAACAATTATCAATGATCCACTTTCAATTACACAATCTTCTAAACCATTCATTGTACGTATACCACATATTCAAACAAAATCTCCATTAAATTCTGAAAGTGGAAAAGTTGTTATTGTTAAAACAATTCCAACAACAAATCAATCAACAACATTAACGCCAACATTACAACAACAACAACCACAACAACAACCTACAAAATCGTTTTCTGTTCTTAAATTAGCTGATGGACAAATTCTTCTTGTACCAACAAATATTCAACCACAACAACAACAGCAACAACAATTAATTGTTAATGAAAATGGTATATCAAGAATAATAAAAGCATCATCAACAAGTCCACCAAATCCAACTGGTACTATTTCAACAATAAAACGAATAACAAAAGAACAAAATACACCACGTATTAGTACAATACAAATAACAAATTTAACATCTCCATCAACGAATATTAAAACTTCTCAACAACCACAATCAACTTCATCTATATCACCACAAGAACGTCGTTTACGTCCAATAGCACCAGCACCAACATCTTTATCTTCAACAGCAAATGATTTATTAAATTCACTTTTAGTTCAACAACAACAACAATTAAATGCAGCATCAGCTGAAACATTATTACGTTTTGATCCAACTGCAAGTGTTTTATTAGCAGGTGAAGATGATTCATTACCAATTATATCCGAAACAGTTACACTTGATAGTAATGGTTCATCATTAAAAATAAATAATAATAATAATAAACGTAAAATTGAATCATCATTACCTATTGAACGACAAACATCTTTACCTGTTGTATCAACTCCAACTATACAACAAAAACCAAAAAGTATACGTAAAACAACAGTAAATGATGAAAAATCAACAACAAAAGCTCGATTAGAAAATAAAGCAACATCAATTATAAAAGATTCAGGTAAAAAAATGACACCAAGACAAGCTTCAATACCTCAAGCATCAACAATTGAAACAAAAAGTCAAAAAACACCTATTAAACGACCAGCTACAACAACTTTACCAACTAAAATTGATCCTGAAGAAGGCATTAGGTATCAAAAACAAACAAAAAAAATATTTTCTTTTTATTCATTTTCTTGTTTTCATCTAAAGAATGAAGATTTGTGAAACAATTCTTCGATCCCTTATCGGTCGAATTGAACGTGAACAAAATCAAGAATCAATTAAAACACGTTTAGAAAAACATAGTACAACAACACCAAAATTTGAACATAGACAAATTATGTTAACACGTTTATTAAATGAACGTGTTGATATTCTTCGACAAGAATTTATTAAAAATCGTTCCGAACGTAAAACAGCTTTAGTTAAAGAACAATTTCAAATACAACGTCTTAAACAACAACAACAAATTATACTTAAACAACAACAACAAGCAACTAATATTAAACAAGATCAATTTATATCCGATGATGATAATAATAATAATAATAAAGATGATTCACCACCAGCTAAAAAAGCGAAAAAAGTCAATGGAAATGAAATTAAACATAAACGACAAACAACACCAAAATCATCTGAATCAAATATAAAAAGGTAAATTCAAAAGTCTTTGACATATTGATATAAATACTGACACAAGTATTTCGTTTACTACAACATTGAGACAATAACTCTATCAAAAGATGTGCTTTTTATTTACGTTGTGCATTAGTTACAGTGAGTCGGATTAATATATTGACCAAACGACCAAAATCGAGAAAACTTCATTCTACATATGATTGATATCTGCTGACGTATATTGTAGAAAAAAAACGTTTTTTATTGGCAAAGAAAATGAATTCTATGAACCTTACTTATATAAATATTTATGTAAGGGAATCAAAACAAGAAAGAGTCGAGCAATGAAAAAAAAATTACATTATCTTTCACTACTATCAGTATTAAGGT